TGGGGTCTCACCCATCAAATTCAGATTCCCACTGAAGAAAGATATAGCTCCTCCTTAATGAACCTCTGTGGGTTAGGGGTGGGGTGTGCCCTGGGGGTCCCAAGGCTGGTGGCAGGCAGCATCTATGTGTAAGGCTGGAGGTATAAAAATATCAGTCCCGGAGGAATCCCACAGACCCGGGCTTCCAGCTGGCTCCTGAGGTCCGAGTCACCCACATTCCTTTTGTAGAATTTTTTGTTTGGTTTTGTCTGGGGACTGGCAATGCTCAGGGGTTACTCCTGGCTCTACACTCAGGGATCACTGCTGGCAGTACTCGGGGGACCAGATGGGAAGCCGGGGTGCTGTGTTTTGTTGTGAAATGTGTGTTCTCTCCACTATGGCCCCAAGCTTCTCAGAGGTTAGTGAAATAAGGGGGTGAGTACTGAGTCTGGGACCTGGTGGATAAAACAGAGAAGAGGAAAGTGGCGGGAAGGAGAGATGAATTGATGGTGGATGGATGGATGGGTGGATGGATGGGTGGATGGATGGATGAGTGGATGGATGGGTGGATGGATGGGTGGATGGATGGATGGGTGGATGGATGGGTGGATGGATGGATGGGTGGATGGATGGGTGGATGGATGGATGGGTGGATGGATGGGTGGATAGTGGATGGGTGGATGGGTGGGTAGGTGGATGAATGGGTGGATTTGTGAATGGATGGATGGATGGATGGATGGGTGGATGGATGGATGGATGGGTGGGTGGGTGGATGGATGGGTGGGGATGGATGAATGGGTGGGTGAATGGGTAGATGGGTGGAGAGATAGGTAGGTGGGTGGGTGAATAGACGAATGGATAAGTGGGTGGGTGGATGGGTGGGTAGGTGGATGAATGGGTGTGTGGATGGTTGGATGGGTGGGTGGATGGGTGGGTGAGTGAAGAGATGAATAGGTGGGTGGGTGAATACACAAATGGATGGGTGGGTGGGTAGATGGCAAAGTATAGACACAGAGGGAAATGTCTAGGCAGACGTGGATTTTACAACCCTGGGATATTTTCATCCAGGCAGATGCAGCACTGGGCACGAAGCTCGCTGCAAAGCCAGAACATCTTATCAGTAGTTGGTGACGCCCTCGCGTCTGCAATTTTCTACCCTGCCGTGTGTGATACAGATCAGCCAGACACGCTGAGTCTGGGCAGACACATTTGGTTGCTCCAGTGGCAGAGCCCAGCTCCTTGACTCAGGAGGCATTTACTGAGCACTTACTAGTGCCGGCAGCAACCCAAGAACTCCAGGGACCTTTCCACGAGGAGGTGGTGGTTGGGGAGAGGGGAGGAAAGGAGAGAGGTTCCAGTTGAGTGGGCCAGTGAGTCAATGCTAGGAGATACAGAAGCAGGAAGTGGGCCTGGGCCCCCTCCTCAGCTTCTTTTGGAAGGTTGACTAGGGACGACAGGTGTACCTGGGGGTGCTGACCCTTGCTTGGGGGGGGGGGGGGGTCAGACCTAGATCTGGATGGAGCAATTGACTTTCCTAACCAAGGTTTGGGACTTCTGGGGTTCCCAGTCTGAAGGTATAAAATCATGGCAACACACACCCAATAATGTGTCCACAAAGGTGGGTGTGACCACAAATCCTCTGTGGGACCCTCACTCATCTCTCTAAACCTGTTTCTCTCACCCACTCCTCTCCTTACAGCAATTGGCCAGTACCAAGCACTCACTATTTAAGAGTGATTTTCCTTTATAAGGAATAAACGAGTATTATTTTGTTCATCTATGGAGGAGCCTCAGGGGAAAGGGAGTTGGCGTGACCTTGAACCGAGTCCAAAAGGTGATGCCAAGCCCCAACTTAGCGAACCCCGCGCTTTCTCCTGTAAATGAGAGGACATGCAGCTGCCAAAGAGAGCAAATCCAAGTTAGGAGTAGCTCAAAGGGAGATTTTTTTCCTTTTCCACATTAAAAAAAAAAAAAACATGCTGAGCTGGGTGTCAGCATCCTGGGCCCTTCTATCCTACTCCTCTTCTCTCAGTGTCTGACTTGTACTCCACGGTGCAAAAGTGCTGCTCGGTTGCCAGAGATCACGTCTGTATCCCAGGTAACAGGACAGAGACAGGGATGAAGAATGGAAGCCCTCAGGGATTTCTGGAAGAATGACGTTGGAGTTTATGGTGGTTCGAAGACTCAGAGAGGGCCCAAGCTTGGCACTGCGGCTGCCTCGGGTAATATCCTGGAAGATACTGCAGTTCTATTGGTTCCCCCCCGCACCCGGAAAGCCATTGGAGGGGCAGTTGCAGCTGTTGGCAGCTGCCGGAGGCCGAGAGCTTGGGACCCTCCAGCTGTCTTCATTGCCTGGTGTGACTCTCCTTCCAGTCAGCATCTCTGGGACCTGGAAACAGCCTGTGCAGGGCTGGGGGAGGTGGGGGCGGGGTGGAGGGAGCATTCTACAGGCAGGGCTGGGGGGTGGGAAGGGCTCCGAGGACCAACACTGCCCTGTACCACCTCCGGCATGGCTGACCCGCAGGCTGTTTTCAAACCAACTGGCTTTATTTATTTATATTAATATTTTTTGCTTTTTGGGTCACACCCGGCAATGCACAGAGGTTACTCCTGGCTCTGCCCTCAGGAATTACCCCTGGCAGTGCTCAGGGGACCCTATGGGATGCTGGGAATTGAACCCGGCTTGGTCACGTGTAAGGCAAACGCTCTACTCGCTGTGCTATTGCTCCAGCCCCTATTTATATTAATTTTTAAAAATTTGTATTGTTTTGGTTTATTTTGCTTTTTGGGTCACCCCTGGCAATGCCCAGGGGTTCCTCCTGGCTCATGCACTCAGGAATGACTCCTGGTGGTGCTCAGGGGACCCTATGGGATGCTGGGAATCCAACCTGGGTTGGCCGTGTGCAAGGCAAACACCCTACCATCGCTATTGCTCCAGCCCCTCAAACCAACCTGCTTTAAAAAGCCCTGGTAGATAACTCACGGAAGTGAGCGAGAAATGTCTGCCCATCACTGACCAACCGACCAAGGGGGCTTTCAAGCCCTCCTCAATCAAAGCTGAGCCCACTGAGGTACGGACGCTTGCTTCTAGTTACATACCTCCAGTGACAGGAAGCTCACTAGATCCAGAAGTCAAATGGCTCGAGCTTATCTCCGGGTCAGAGACTGCAGTTCCTTGCAGTGTCTGGGGGCTGTGGGGGCCTCTCCCGACAGTGCTCAGCCCAGAGGAGCTGCTGGGAGTGGAGTGGGAGGGGAGTGTGTGCCAGATCCTGCCCCTCAAGCCGTCCCCCTGGACTTCTGAGCCTCTTATTGATGTGGCAGTTTCCAAGTTTTCACTCTGAGGGAGGCCCAGAGGCTCCTGATCACGTGATCATCTCCGTCAGCTGAGGCTCTGGCCAGAGAGGGGCTGGGACTTGCCCAAAGACGCACAGCAGGCCGGGGGCTGAGTTTCTATCAGGCCCTAGTGCCAACTCTCGGCTGTGTTCCTGCCAACCCCATGGCCCCTCCAGGACCTCTTCTAGCCCCCCTCACACGGAGCGGTGCTACCCCTCAGCCAGCCTCCCCACCCTGCCAGGACCTGCCGTTCTCACTAGGAGCCAGACTGGACAAGCCCGGGCCGAGGGTCTGGGGTCCCGGCGTCAGGAGTTTGGCAGGACCCCACTCCTGGGTGGAGGCTACCTGCCTCCTGCTGTCCTTCCCTGCAGCAGGAAACTGCAGACACACACATACATACACGCACACACGAGCACATACACATGCACACGCACTTGCCCACACACACACACACACACACACACACACACACAGAGCACTGCTTTGCCAGGCGCCTCCAGCAGCTCTTGGCAATCCTGCCAGCACTGAGCGGACGCCAACACAGACCTCCGGCAGAGTCACTCGGCTTCTTTCTGTGGTTATTTTTTTTTTTTACAACTTTAAATACGGAATATAAATAAATTTTACATTTAAAAAATAAAAGGAAAGCCCCCAAAAATATAATCACCAACTTTACAAACTGAAGGAAGCAGATGAGGGAGGTGGGAGGAGGAGGGGGGCGCCCAGACCCCACCCTGGGGCGGCAGGGGGCTTCCTGGGGGTCGTGCCCGCCCTCTCCTCACTCCTCGCCCAGGAACTGGTTCTCTGCAAGGAGCCCACTGCCCTGACGAGGGAGTTCGCGGTGAGGGGGGTCTTTCTCTTGGGCTTCCAACGCCTGCCTCGAGAAGGGGCTGCTGGGGGCTGGAGTCGGGGGGTGGGCACGACCTGGAGGTCCGAGAACCCGTGTAGCCCCCTGCCCCGCTGTGCAGCTCCACTCCTGTTCAAAACCCCAAGCTACGGGTCAGTTCAGGGCCACCACCAGGCCAAACAAAAATATTTCGTCAATCAGGGCAACAACCCCTTATGACGCCTCCCCTCCCGATGCCAGGAAATGGCTCTACTCAACATGTCGTGTCTGCATGGGACAGCCCCATCCCACCCCCCCCGCCACGCCCCTGCAGTGGGTGCCCCACGCAGCCTCACAGGGCCAGTTCTGGGGACCGGACTGGGCGCAGGTAGGGCCCTGCCGCTCTGAACCTGGGTCTTCTGCCCACGGGAGTAGTGGCCGGGGTTGCTGGGGGCCTCGGGAAAGGGTGCTCCCCGGGGTAGGGCAGTCTGGAGGGCCTGGTGAGAGGGAGAAGCAGGGTGGAGGTAGAGAGATGAGGCGGGGCGGGCAGGGGCAGCAGGGGTGCAGGAGGCGGAGGACGCCCAAAACCCACCAACATCCACCTCCGAGAGCAGACGTCCCCTCCGACCCCCAAGGGCGCTGGGCCGCCTGGCGCTCTGGCCACGCGTGCCCGGAGGCGTCCGCGCTTGTGAGATTTCATATGTATGAGAGGAAGGGCAGGTGCCGCTGTGAGCAGACGTGATGGGGGCGGGGTGGCTGGGCCAGGGCCGGCGGGAGTGGGGGTCTCTCCAGTCTGTGCTCCCCCAACCCACATGCCCACAGTCCCAGAAGTACATGGTCCCCTGGGCTTTCCGGGGTTGTTCTGGGTCCCAGAGGTCCTGGGGCCACCTGCTGAAGAAGGAAGTCCCTCTCCCGGCGTCACCCCGTCCATCTCTTGACACAGAGGCCGGAGTCAGGGCAGGAGGCCAGCAGTGCAGTCCAGGGCCTTCGTTTCCTTGAGGTTCCGGGCGAGATGCTGGAGGCAGCCGAAGGGAGACTCACTGGCAGAGGGGATGGGCAGGCGCGTGGAGGGATGGGGGAAGCACCATTGGCCGTCCGAATCAGGCATCGAGACAGACGGACGAGGGGGACAATATTATCACTCCAAGGACCCCATGGGGGCGATACAGCAAATACCATATTAAATAACCCTGTAGGCCAAAGCAGAGGGACACAGTGGGTCAGAGATGGGCCTGGGGCTCCAGTCCCCCCACCCAGGTGCTCATCCTACCCAGGGGCTGGGTTCTGGGTGGACCAGCTGTCCCTGATCTGCAGAATTCAGGGATTTGATTTAGACCAGCTTCCCGTGACTTTTGTCTGCAGAGCACAGGGATCTGGTAGATCAGTTGTCCCTGATACACAGAATTCAGGACGTGGTAGACCAGTTGTCCCTGATATACAGCCTTTAAGATCTGGTAGACCAGTTGTCCCTGTTACACAGCATTCAGGATCTGGTAGACCAGTTGTCCCTGATCTCCCATGATGCTCAGACTTCTTCCATTCTTTTAGTGTAATCTGGCATCCACTTGGACGTGGGTCTCCCAAAGGACCCCCCTCTCACACACACACACACACCAACCTGCACAGTGGGAAATATCAAAGGGTGGAAGGCCAAGGTTCCAGGTCTGAAAATTGTATTGGGGAAACGCCTCTGCCTCAGTCCCTTCCACAGCCCACACCACAGTGTTTGAGCTAGGAAATGCAAAGTCCGGTCATGGGGTCCCTCACCCAGTCCTCACCTGCCCGCACTCTCCCCGCAGATGTCCCTAGGCTCCGAGGGTCTCCTTCAGTGCCTTCTTGTCATCATGCGTGTGCTTGAACTTCCGGTGCTTCCCCTTGGGGGGCCGGCGGACACGCACGGTCCGAATGGCCACCCGCATCTGGGGCATCTTAGCTGCTCGAGAGAAAGGAGGGATGTGTCAGAAGACAGAACAGCACTGGACGGGGTGTCCCCCATCTCCCCCGCCCACCGTGAGCCTCCTTGGAGGAGGGCAGGGGCAGGAGGGAGTATGGGGCCAGACCTCCTGGGTTCAAATCCCACCTCATCTGCTCAGCAGCAGTATGTGCCCTAGGGATAATAATGGAACTGCTCTGTGCCTCAGTTTCCTCCTCTGTGGAATGACAGGGGATGAGACTGTCCACCTCCTAGGATTGCTGGGAGGAATGATTGGAGGTGGGATGGGCACAGCGGGTAAGGGGCTTGAATCTGACCTTGGCACCACAGATGGTCTCCTGAGCATCACCAGGAGTGATTCTTGAGCACAGGGTCAGGAGTAAGGTCTGAGCCATGCCCAGAGTGGCCCCCAAGTCCAAATAAATCATAAACAACAGGGAACTGGCAAACACAGGAGGAGAAGAACTAGTCCTGGCTACGGGTTCTTGTCCATCACCCCCCGGCATGTCCCTATTGTCATGGACCCCTTGAGCCTGACCCATTGATGGGTCTGGGAGCCAGGAAGCGGCAGGGAAGTGGGGTGAGGTTGACTTCATGCAGGAACCTGAAGGCCCAGCCAGCCCCTCCATGGTACTCTGGGAAATCTGCACTCTCTACATAAGAAGTCTGGCTACTGGGCATAAGGCGAGGCCCAGGGGACAGACCATCACTACCCCAGAACAGCAGAACTGTCCCGCTGGGTCTTGTCAACTCATGGACCCCAGACAGACGCTCTAAGGACTGTGGTCCCGCAAGATGACCCTTCACAAGTGAGGGCAAGCCCCCAGCATGCATTTCAGTAGGTTCACGGAAAAGAACACAGTTTCTCGGAGCTATAAGGAAATGAGTCACTGCACCACAAAAGGAGGGGAAGGGGCTGGGAATGTCAGTGAGGAGTGACAGAAGCTGGCCACGAAGGTGACACACAGTGGAGCCCCAACTCCATGAGCATTCCAGAAAAGCCACAAAATTAGGCAGTGACACTATCAATGGTTGCCCGGTGGTGCTCAGGGATCACTCCTGGCAGTGCCCAGGGGCCCTATGTGGCTCTGGTGACTACACTGGGGTCAGCCACAGGCTAGGCCAAGGCAAGTCCCTCAGCTACTGCACTCTCTCCCCGGCCCCCTGGCAAGATTTGCAAAAGCTGTTTTCGAGTTGGAGCCACACCCGGCGATGCTCAGGGCTTCCTCCTGGCTCTGTGCTCAGGAATCAGAAGGAAGCTGTGTCGGTCACGTGCAAGGCAAGCACCCTCCCCTCTGGCCTGTCGCTCGGGCCCCCGCTGTCATCGCGGAAGCCTCTTGGTTCCCGGTAAAGGATCAGCTGCTTGAATCTCCGATTTGCTTTCTTTTTTTTTTGCTCTTTTGGGTCACACCCGGCAATGCTCAGGGGTTACTCCTGGCTTTGCACTCAGGAATGACTCCTGGCGGTGCTCAGGGGACCATATGGGATGCTGGGAATCGAACCTGGATTGGCCGTGTGCAAGGCAAATGCCCTCCCCACTGTGCTATTGCTCCAGCCCCCTCCCATTTGCTTTTCTCCTGACCTGACCCCTCGTGAGGGGTACCTAGACCACGCAGCCCTCCTGAGACTCAGTGATCTCCCCCTAGGGGGTAGGGGGCTGCAGGTGCTGAGCCGGAAGCACCCAACGTCCTCCATGAACGTGGGGCCTGTCCCGGGTCTGGTCCTCCTGGACCTAGGGTCCATTCTGGGCACCCCCCCCTGCCCCGGGTTTGCTGGGTGCTCTGGGCAGATCACTCAACCTCTCTGTGCTCCGGCTTGCACATCTAAATAGCCAGGGCAACAGGTGCCATGGCCTCCCTGGGACATGGAGGCAACTCAGGGAAAGAGGCAGAAACCCTGGGCGAGAGCTTCCCCGGCACAGGGCAATGTTCCCTACTCAGGTCTGTCTTCACAGCACGAACAAATGCCTTCATTTAACACAGGAGGAAACCAAGGCAGGGAGTGGAAGCCAGGGTTGAGCCTTGAGTCCACACGGGTACTCGCACAGCCGTGAACACCTGGTGCCCGTGAGCCTGGGTTGGAGACAGAGCTGATGCCTCCCATCCTCCTGGGCTCCAGTGCCAAGGGGCCGCCTCTTCCAGGGAGCCCTCTGAGATTCTCCCGGCTCTTTGGGGCCAACACCTGCCCTCCCACTCCCCGACACAGCCCCCTGGAGACGGGCGCCCATGTAGGAACTCGAATGGGCAGACCCCAGGGAGAGAGTGGGCTATGAGCAGCACAGCCCAGCACAGAGAGAAGGGGATGGACGAGACACAAGCCTGAGAGATCTGGTGCTGGCCACCACCTCCCAGAGGCCACACCACAAGCCTTCTCCAACCCAGGGACGTGAGCACTGCACAGCAGAGCCAACATGCTGCTATGACCACGGAAGCCTGGCACATGTTTGTCACTCGAAAATGCCTCCTGGGGCCTCCTAAATGAAGCCAGCATTTCCAAGAACCTCACTTGATTTTTATTTTATTATTACTGGGGGCAGGGGGTAGACCATGCCTGGTGGTGCTCAGGGGACCATACGGGATACGGAGAATCAAACACGGTTGACATATGCAAGCACCTTCAACCTGGACAGACAGATCTCTCTGGCCCCGAGAACCCTACTTTATTGATTTAGTTTAGTTTAGTTTAGTTTAGGCCACACCCAGCAATGCTCAGGGCTTACTCCTGGCTCTGAGCTCAGGAATTACTCCTGGTGGTGCTAGGGGGACCATATGGGATGCCCGGGATCAAACCTGGGTTGGCCGCATGCAAGGCAAACGCCCTCCCCACTGTACTATCGCTCCAGCCCCTAGAACTCCATTTTATTTATTTTTTATTTTGGTTTTGGGACCACACCTGGTGATGCTCAGGGGACCATATGGGGTGCTGGGGATTGAACCCAGGTTGACTGCATGCAAGGCTACCCTCTGTCCCACTGTCCCTAGGACCCCATTTGAAACCTAAAGAACATCATTTTGTTTTGTTTTGTTTTTTCCACTGACAAAACCAGTCTCCACACTGACTTGAGTCACTGACAATGTCTGAAGCTTCAGATTGAAGCTGGGAGCATCTCAGCCTTCCCAGGGAACCCAGTGTGTCTGCTCAGACTTGGGGATAGACGAAGAGGTGAACACGGCCCCGAAAGACCGACACCCCAAAGCCTCAGCCTCTGCAAAACAGAACTAGCCCAGGGGCGACTGTCTGACCTCACTGTGGGGGATTCACATTCAGGCCAGAGGAGGCAGGACACGGGCCAATGAAGCCACTGTGCAACCTCCAGTGAGTTCCTTAACCTCTCTGCTCCAGCAGCCCTGCAGGTAACACCCAAGGACACGTGGGCAAGCCTCTGGCTTAAACTCAGACATGTAGAACCTTTAAGGCCGTAAATGCGTCAGGATCTCCAAAGATCAGCTCTTCCCTGCCGGCCTGGCGTGGGACCCTGAGGAAGGTGTGAGTCTGTCTGGACCACCCCTATTTGGTGGACAGGGATGAGGGGGTCTCCTTTTAACTGTTTAAGGGAAATTACACTTGCAGATTGTGAATTCAAGAAGTGAAAGGTTGGAAGCGGGGCCGGAGCCATAGCACAGCGGGAAGGGCGTTTGCCTTGCAGGTGGCCAACCCTGGTTCTATTCCCAGCATCCCATAGGATCCCCCAAGCACCACCAGGAGTAATTCCTAAGTGCATGAGCCAGGAGTCACCCCGTGCGTTGCCGGGTGTGACCCCCCCAAAAAAAAAAGAAAAGGAAAAAGAAAGGCCAGAAGCAATTCCCAGGAGCACAGGAGGGACCACTGGCCGAGTGCAGACTCCGCATGAGGGGGGCTGGTCCCTAGAACTGCACTTGGGAGCGACTCCCAGCACAGAGCAGTAGGAAGTTGTTCCTGAGAGCCACTGGGTGTGGCCCCCAAGCCAAACCAAAAGACAAAAGATGGCCCCGGTCCCTCGCATCCAACAGTGCTCGGGATGGACCCCATCTGTCACAGCTGCCTGCCTTCAACCGTGTACCTCCGAGCGATGGGAACTCCTCATCTCACAGCAGGTGACTCCTCCCTGGACCACTGACTCATCATTAAGTTTCGTCTCCCGGAGCTAAAATCTCTCTCCAGTGGCCTCCACCTAGGGGGCCTGATGCTTATCTGCAGGTGCTGAGGAGAGTTTGATTCCTCAGGCCCTGGACAAACATCTGAGGACAAAGGACAAGGGGCTTTCTCATGCCTAGGCCCTGACTTCCCTAACCATTTCACACCCTCATCCAACAATGCAGGGTCGGGGGTGACCGGCCGGGATGGTGGCTTCTCTATTTGTTTTTGTTTTTTGTTTTTTGTTTTTGTTTTTTTGCTTTTTGGGTCACACTTGGCTATGCATAGGGGTTACTCCTGGCTCTGCACTCAGGAGTCACTCCTGGCGGTGCTCAGGGGACCATATGGGATCCTGAGAACCGAACCCGGATTGGCCGCATGCAAGGCAAACGCCCTACTGGCTTTTTGTTTTGTTTTGTTTTTTCTTTTTGGGTCACACCCAGCCGATGCTCAGGGGTTCCTCCTGGCTCTGCACTCAGGAATCACTCCTGGCGGTGCTTGGGGGACCCTATGGGATACAGGGAATCAACCCGGGTTGGCCACATGCAAGGCAAATGCCCTCCCCGCTGTGCTATTGCTCCAGCCCCATGGCGGCTTCTCTGAACTAGGTAATCAGGGAAGGCCCGCAGGAGGAGGTGACAGCTGAGCTAAGCGCTCTCAACGGAGAAAGCACCTTCTCCTCTTTGAAGAGCGAGGAGGGCGAATTTCACACAGGCCGGCACGGGCCCAGGCCCTGTGGCAGAAATTCACTCCCGTGTTCCACAAGGTCAGCTTCTGTGTGAGGGGACAGCTGTTGGCAGAGCGGGGTCGGGAGTTGGCACAAAGTCCAGAGTGCAATCTCGGCACGTAGGAGGCCCGGGGTTCAACCCCTGAGCAGCCAGGCCCTGAGACGGGACTCTCTCCCCACATGTGGTCTCGCTTAGGGAGGGAACTGGAGCCCGTCACTGAGGCGGGGACACGGGGAGCCAGGCCACTCTCCCCCTGAGAGGCGGAGCCAGCAGCCCCCGCGGCCAGTGGTCCCTACCTCGCTGCTCCTGGGAAGTCTTGGACCCTCGGGCCACGGCCCCCGCAGCCACCACCGTCTCGCACTTGCACGCCAGGTGGTCCTCCAGCGTCACCGTGACCTTCTTGAAGCTGGGCTTCTTCCGCACGATCTCGATTTTGTTCACCTGGAGGACGGAAGCATAGATGCCCCTGCAGGGACCCAACGGGACGCACCCCCGCCAGCCCCATCGCACCCTACCCCCAGTGGCTCTTTCCTCGAAAGCCCAGCTCAGAAGCTGCCGGGGCAGACACTCGTGTGCAGACAATGTCAGGGCCTCGCCCTCTGCCCTTCTCTCCTCCTCGCTTTTCCATCAAAACAAGCCCTCCCGACCTGGCTCTAACTCGGCCGCACCCCGGCCCCCCCCAGAGAGGGAGAAAGGCATTTCCGGGCGGGGCCGGTGTCCTCATTCCCCGAGTGGCAGCCAAGGCCGGGGCCGGGGCAGAGGCGGAGGCTGGGATGCTCGTCTGGAAGGAAGTGGGGGGGAGGCTTGATCCGGGGGGAGGCGGGAAGGGGTGGTCAGCTGTCCACTGTCCCTCTGTCGAGCTGGACGCGTGGGGGACAGGAGATCCCATGGCCGTGGGTGGCTGACGGCAGTGACACCTGGCCCAGGCCAGGCGCAGAGAGAGGCCAAGAGCAAAGGCCCTGGGAGCCCGGGAGGGGGGTGGGGGGAGGGGCGGCAGGGTCAGCACAGCAGCAAGAAGAGAGCTGGGGCTGGAGTCACGGCACAACAGAGGAAGGGGCTCCATCCCCGGCACCCCAAAGGTTCCCTGGGGCCTCACCAAGCAGTGGTCCCTGAGCACAGAGCCAGGAGTAAGCCCCGAGCATCGCCAGGTGTGGCCCCCAAACCAGGTCGAAACAAAACAAAATGTCCCTGAGTCAGAGGAATCGAGGGCTACACAGTTGATTGTGCGGTCACCTGTGGCCACTCCCACCGCACCTGCCCAATTAAGGATGCGTTAGACACCCTAAAGGAAAGAGAGAGCAAAAGGGAATGCCCTGCCACAGAGGCAGGGTGGGGTGGGGGTGGGTGGGAGGGCTACTGGGATCATTGGTGGTGGAGAATGGGCACTGGTGGAGGGGCGGGTACTCGATCATTGTATAATTGAAACCCAAGCATGAAAGTTTGTAAGTCTACAACTATACCTCGTGGTGTTTCACTAGTTAAAAAAAAAAAATTGAAAATAAATAAAGATGCATTAGACCTTGGGCACCCGAGCTCTGTCTGTGGAGTAAATCTGGGTGCCTCCCATCCAGGAGAGCTTGGTGGGGAGAGAACTTAGTCCTGCAAAGGGGTGACGGGCCCTTGGGCCCCCGCTCTTACCCTCAGCCCCGCCCCTAGGATCCTTTGGTCCCGCCCCCAAGGCCCTTCAGCCCCGCCCCATTCTTCAGCCCCGCCCCCAAGGCCCTTTGGCCCCGCCCCAAAGCCCTTCAGCCCTGCATTCTCCAGGGCCCTTCGGCCCCGCCCCTGCCCTTAGCCCCGCCCCGGGGCATTTGGTCCCGCCCTCAGCCCCGCCCCCAGGGCCTTCGCCCCGCCCCCCAGCATTGCGGCAGGTTGTGTGGTTCCTCGCCCGCCCGTCTGGGCCCCCCACACGTACCTTCACGTGCCGCAGCTGCACCCGCGTGGCCCGGCACTGCACGTTGCGGCTGTTGCAGCAGCCCGAGCAGCGCTGCACCTCCACGCACGGCGGCCACACCAGGAAGTTGGCGTTGGTGCGGTCGATGAGGCCGCGGGAGATCTCGAACACCTCGGTGCGGGTCTTGCACTCGGCGATCACCGCGGGCTCGGCGGCGGGGGAGCTATCTGGAAGTGGGAGGAGCCCCGTCAGAAACAGGCCCCCCAGAGGGTCCCCCAAGCCCACCCAGGAGTGACCCGAGTGCAGAGCCAGGAGTAAGCCCTGAGCACAGCTGGGTGTGGCCCCCACCCAAGAAACTAGGGCTCGCCATCTCCCGAGTGCAGGGGTGGGGTGAGAGGGCATTTCTAAGCTCTCTTTAGGGACAGACGGAATGTGTGCCGGGGCGGGGAAGGGGGGTACAATGACTCAACCCTTCCACGGAGCGGATTTAAAGAGGCGGCAGATTCTGAGTTTATGCCTGGAAGCTTCGTGCCCCCCCCCACGAACCCCAACCTTACCTAGACTTCTTCTTCCTCGGGATAAGCTCTCCAGCTCGTCTTCTGAATGCGTCCGGGTCAAATTCAGATCCAACTCGGCCCCATCTTCATCTGCGCGGAACCGGAAACGCATGAGCACTGCCAGCCCACATTTAGGGGGGCAGGTGGGGGGGATGTCTTGCCCCCCTCCCTGGCACCCCCTCCTGAAGTCCCCCCTTCCAGCTCCCTGCAGACACCGGCCTCCGAGCTCTGAAGAGGGGTCCCCCAAGCCAACACCAGGGAGTGCTGGGGTCCTGACTTGCCTCCCCCATGCCCCTGCCCCCGCCCCCCCAGGATCCTTGGGCTCCCGCCCTCACTCTTGGGCCCCATTTTTGGACAGAACCCATGGCCATGGAGTTAAAAATAACCCTTCCCCTTTGCTCCTGTCAGGAACCCTCCTCGGCCTCCAGACCCGGGCGAGGGCCCGGAGCGCCAAGGCCGGCTTCCAGTGCCCTCCACCCGCGTTCCCACAGGAAGCTCAGAGCACAGAAATTCCCAGAATCCCCACAGGGGCCCGGCGTGCCCTGGACACGGCCCCTCCGGAGTCCCTGACAATGGCCTGGTTGGGCGGGAGGCAGTGAGGGCGGGGATGGGTGGGGGGAGAGGGGGGCTGAGAAAGGGGTGGGGTCTCCTCAGGCTTGATCCGTTGCTGCTCCCCATCTCTGGACTGATATAGGGGGTCCCTGCTAGTGTAGGGGTCAGCGGGGCCCACCAGGGCCATGTCCAGCAGTGCCAAGGCGGGCCAGGCCACGGATGTGCTGGGGACAGAAATCAGGGTCCCCCGCTTCCTAGGCGTGCACCCCATCCCCTGAGCTGTCTCCCCAGATCCCCTCTGGCCATGTCTGTGTCCACTGAGTCTGGTCAAGGAAGTGGCCTGCGGGTCTGTACCACCGCTGCTCATCACAGACAGACGCTCTTCCCAGACTGGCTGCCCGGAAGCAGCCGCCTGTTGCTGCTGTGTTTGTTGACCATGTTCTGGGGGCCACACTCAGTAGTGCTCAGGGCCGACTCCTGGCTCTGCACTCAGGGATCACTCCTGGCTCGGGGGATCACTCCCTAAAGGGTGTCGGGGATCGAACCGGGATTAGGCTGTGTGCAAGGCCAGCGCCCTCCCCGCCTAACTGTGGTCCAGCCCCACATGCAGGATTCTGAACTCCATGGCGGATCCTGGGTCGACCTCTGAGGGCCAGGACGCCGGCGCAGAGGCTGTTTGTGGTCAGAGAGCTGCTCTCCTCCTGCCGATGACCAGGTCCACTCACTGGAGTGAGGGGGACCAAGACTCCCCCTCTGGAGCGGCCGGTCCCCAGCACTGGAGCCTTTCTGTCTAGTCTAGTGCGTGCGTCCGTCTGTCCATCTGGCTGCCTGTCCCCTTGACCCTTTCCCGTCCCCTGCCGCCTCTGGAATGTCCCTGGTGAGGAGGAGATGGAGGGACAGATGAGCTTTGTGGAAAGGTTAAGTTGATTAGGAAAAAAATAGCCCCGCAGTGGCCGCCTCGAAACAGGCCGGCTATTGAAAAGCCCGATCCGACCCCCAGCCGGGGTGGGGGGCAGCCCCAGGGAGGGGGCGTGGGCCCTGGAAAGAAACGGGCGGCAAAGGCTAAATTTGGAAGGTGCCCCATTGTGTGGGCCAGGGCTGGCCCGTGGGGCATGGGGTGGGTGGGGGTGTGGGAGACGGCGGGTGGAGGGGGGGGCAGCGAACAATAGGTGGGCCCAGCTGGGGCCTCCCCCGCCTACGTCCCCAGCACCCCCCCCTTCCCAGTACCCCCACATAGGCAGGAGCGTTTGAAAGGGCCCGGGAATGCTTTTGAGAGGGAGCCAGGGGCCCGACGGGAGAGGAAACAAAGGCAGGAAGTGCTGTCCCTGTAGATAGCGGTCTGAGCACCGTTACAAAGTGACAGAGACAGGACCCCAGGGAAAGGGGCTGGGGGGGTGCGACCTGGACTCCAGGAGCAGGCCAGAGGTTAGAATAGAATGGAATTCGCTCTGAAGACAGCGTTTATAAATACATTGGCGACCCAGCCCGCCAGCCCCGCCACGTGTGTGCCACTGAGCACGTGCCCACTGGCTGGGCCCCGGCTTGGGCACGGGCAGGGTGGCCGCTGGCCCGGCCCGGGTGTCCCTGGGAGACCTCACGGGCCCAGCCCCCCGGCCAGGGCGCCAGGACGTGGCTCGCCTGCCTCCTCCCAGAGCTGGACCCACCCCAGGGGACCGTCCTCCCTCTCGGCACCCCACCAAGCCCGGGCCGTGCCAGCCTCTATCCACCTGCCCGGGGGCGGCGGGGGCAGATGGCATTGCTGGCTCTTCCCCGGGCCCAGGGAGGCGGAGGGGAGGCAGGAGGGCGGGGGACGGTCCAATTACCTGTAGAGTCTCCGTACAGCAGACGCCGCAGGTCCGTGAAGGAGCGGATGGAGGGGTCACTCAGCATCTCATAGAGCTCCTCAGGAATGGGGTCCCCCTGCCAGGCAGACACGAGCGGGGCGTGAGCACCCCCAGCCAGGGCCTCCCCACTCACATTCCCGCCCGTGAAAAGTTCCCACCACGCCCCTTGGCCACAGGCAAAGGGCCAGCCTCACCCCAAAGGGAACCCCGGCTGGACCACCTCGCGAGTGTCCGCCCGCCTCCCTTGGCATGTCCAGGGGCCGCGGGCTCCCACTCCGATTTCTGGTCGTTTCTCTTCCACCCCTGACAGCCTGTAGCGGCCAGCGTGGTTCAAGGGCAGCTACACGGCTTTGTCTGACCCCCACAGCCCAAGCCGCGCCAGGCCTTGGGTCAGTGCCCCAGCGGGTGGTCTCGGAGGCCCCGGCCTGGGCAGGGGTGCAGGGGCTCCTCAGATGCGCTGCCGGGAAACCGGAAAGACGACCCAGCCCCGAGCCGCCAAGCCCTATTTTTAGAGCCCCTCTGGCCTGGCACCAGAGACACTTGAAACTTAATAAGCACTTTACCAGGCCCCACTCGGAGCCCGGCTTCCTCCAGGGAAGCCACAGGTCCTGCAATGACACGGGGGTGGCCCGAGAGGAGGTCACGGCCACACGTGTCCTGCAGGGTCTGGAGACCCAGAGGGCTGCTACCGGAGGGCCCGAGAGGCCAAGAAGCACGATCCAGACAGTGACGCCTCGGAGCAGAGGACCCAGCAGGTGCTACCGCCCAGACTCACACATGCAGACACGCATGCAGACTCACACACACACACACACACACACACACGCAACCCGCATGCAGACTCACGCAGACATGCATGCAGACTCACATATGCAAACATGTATGCAGACTCACACACGCAATCATGCATGCAGACTCACAGACAGGCATGCACAGACTCACACATGCAAACATGCATGCACAGACTCACATATGCTAACATGCATGTAGACTCACACACGCAAGCACATATGCAGATACACATACAAACATGCGTGCACGAACTCACAGATGCAGACATGCATGCACAGGGCTCCAGTACACACAGACACACACACACGCAGACATGCATGCACAGACATGCACACATGGGCACCAGCAAACAGAAACACACACGCATACAGACACGAGTATGCACAAACTTGCACACGCACAGTCACAGACACGCACGCACACGGGTCCCAGCACTCACAGACATGCACCATGGGCGCCGGCATACACAGACGCACATGTGCTTGGGTCCCAGCACACACAAAGACTCACATGCACACACAAGGGCCCCAGCACACGCGCAGACATGAACCATGGGCATGAGCCCACACCAACACGCCTTCCTGGGGCGGCAGCAGCACCACTGATGCCCGTGTCCACGGGCACAAAGACCCCCATGGGAACATGCATGCAAGAAGCAGCGCACGCAGAGGATCCCAGAAGGCCCCTCCCGCAGGGCCGTGCCTCAGTTTCCCCGGGTTGGATGGGGAGATCCCTGTTCAGGCCACACCAAGGACCAGAGTTCCGAGACGCTGGGCAGGGACTGACCTGGGGGGAGCTGAGTGACCTCCTGAGCGGCCTGGCCAGGGCCCCGGGGGGCTCACGGGTCGGGTCCACCCCGCCTCCCCAAGGCAATTTTCTCTGGGGGTGTGGGAAGAGCTCCTCTAGGTAACGTGTCGAGGTCCCCGGGTCCCGGGGGCGCAGGGGGCACTTCTGAATAGATCCCCGAACACCCTCCGCGTCGCTTCTTCCTGTCATCATGGAGTCCGAGAGCTGAGGGGCTCCCAGAGGAACAGTGGGGGGCACAGCAGGAAGTAGGGCCAGGGCTCCCCCACAGGGCTGTCCGTCTCCCGTCGCAGAGTCCAGGGTGGCTAATGTGAGGAAGCGCTCCCCCTCCCAGGAGAGACCCCAGGCCTCAGGAGGGCTCCAGTCTGGACCTACGGCCCAGCACACCAATGGAGGAAGAGGGACACTGCAGGCCAGGGAAGGCCAGCCACATCCGGCCACCCACCACCGGGACCTTGGGCTGCGCACTGCTGCTCTCCGACACAGTCTCCAGGGGGTTGGGACCCTCACATCTGCTAGTTGCCTGCTAGGGCAGGAGGAATAGCAGCAGAGGAAAAGGGAACTGGGGGTGCCCAGCATGGCCGCTGTGGACAGCCCCCCTCTCTACAGCATCACTGTGGGCTGGGAGCGCCAGGTTTGGTCCCTGCCACCGCATGTTCCACCCCCCAATATGAATGACCCCCGAACTGGGGTGACCGCACGTCCCCCTTTCCCCGGGAGTCGGGCCTGAAGGCCAAGTACCAATCAGGGGCAAGCCTGACAGTGGGCAGACCCCCACCAGGCCACAGGGGCTGCCCGGGGCCCAGCCTCCGAGGCCAAAGTTTAGCATCTCCATTCCAGAACCTTCTCAGGAGGGAGTGGACGCGAGCCAAATGCACAAGGAAAGTCCTTTTCCCTGGATTCTCTCAGCTGCTCCTACGAGACCACCGAGGACAGCCCTCTTCTCTCACGCCCCAAGCAAACAACTGTCCCCCAAAAGCTCACAGTAACTGGGGGGGTGGGGTCCTGAGTTAGGGTGGGCTCCAGGGAACGTACCAGAACAGTCCTGAGCCCCCTGCATCCAGGGCTAACACCACAGTGACTTTTTTTTTTTTTCTTTTTGGGTCACACCTGGTGATGCTCAGGGGTTACTCCTGGCTCTGCACTCAGGAATTACTCCTGGCGGTGCTCAGGAGACCCTATGGGATGCTGGGAATCGAACCCGGGTCGGCCGTGTGCAAGGCAAACGCCCTACCCGCTGAACTATCACGCCAGCCCCCCACAGCGACCTCTTTCTTTTCTTTTTGCCTTTTTTTTTTTTTGGAGGGGTGGGGAGGGTCACACCCAGGGATGCTCAGGGGTTTCTCTTGGCTCTGCACTCAGGAATTACTCCTGGCGGTGCTCGGGGGACCACATGGGATGCCGGGGATTGAACCCGGGTCGGCCGCGTACAAGGCAAAGGCCCTACCTACTGTGCTATCCCTCTGACCCCCCTCCCCCATGACCTTGCTGCAGGGCTGACTCAGGGAGGCCCTGACACTGCCCGTGAGTGGGCGCTGGCGGCAGCGGGCCGGCCAGTCTGCTCAGAGGGTCACTGGCCCTCACCCTCCGCTGCTCTGCCTTCTGCCATGTGTTCTCGGCCCAGGTGCCCCCCGGGGTCCTGCTGGGCACAGACAGAGGCCGCAGGGACCCCCATGATGTGTGCTGACACGGCCCTGAGGCACTGGGCCCCATACCCAGCAGGCGAGATGCCCCTTCTGCATCCCTGCCAGCAGGCTGGGAAATCCCTCCTGGGGTCCACCGAGGTCTGTCTGAACCACTCCTTCCACAGTGCTCCTGGGGGGAAAGGGGGCAGGGGAACACAGGGCCACACCGCAGGAAAGTGAAGAGGATGAGAAAGTGGGGTGCACCGTATGCTCCCCGCACCCCTGCCTAGCCCTGCACACCCGTGCTGGTTGGTTGGGGGGGGTGCTTCAGGTCTGAGAAGAACACTAGGGGTGCCCGCGCTCTCCTGGTGCAGGACGTGGGGAGCAGCCCCCAACAGGTTCTAGAAGCCCCTTCGGCGGGGCAGCGTCCCCAGGACGGGGGGTGAGGAGGGCTGGGCTGGCGTGGAGGCGGCCCCAGACCTCAGGCCAGGGGTTCCTTGCAGGGCCAGGGCGTGGCGAGCAGGAGCTGAGGTGTAGCCAAAGCAAACAGCCCTACCCCCCACGGCAGCTGCAGAGGGTGGGAAGGGCACCTCTGGGCCAGGTGAGCTACCTGCTCCCCGCCAGACTGGCAGATCAAAGGGGCTGGCCCCCACCCTCCCCGGGGCCCCCTCCTCCTCCCCCGCGCATGCGCACCCCTCCCCACACATACGCACACATACACACACACTCCCAGCACCCAGGGGCGTTGCCTGGCGCTGGCAGAGAGGCTGACGAGGCCTGCCTGGAGACTCAGGCCTGATTTCGATTCGATGCCACAGTCAAGTCCGCTGAAGAAGCGACCACAGACACATTAGGCCCCGCCGTACTCACCAAGCATTTCCCTTGGGACCCTCCCACTCCCCCCACCCACGCTCACCCAGCACCATCCCCTACACCCCCCACACACACACACGATACACGCGCGCGTGCTCACGCACACACATGCACACACACATGCACACACACGCATGCACATGCACACACATCCACGTGTGCACACACACGCACACACACACATGCACATGCCCACACACAGAAAAATGGTGAAGCCAGGACCCCCCCCCCACCGCCAGCCTCCCAATACACCCCCAAATCCCAGCCTGGAGTGGAGAGGGGGGATTCTGCCTGGGGTTAGGGGACCTTGGAGCCAACCCGAGCTACTATTTTAGGTGGTGGAAGCTGGGGCCCAGCTCCAGAGCCAAGAATCTTGGCAGTTTTCTGATTTCCTTCTGCTCTTTTCCTTGTTTCTTCCCCCTCTGTGCAATCGGGCTCTTCAAGTTCCCCAGATGGGGCAAAGAAAAGCAGACTTGTTTCTCAAGCTGTGGGGTGGGGGGGGGGGGGGGCTTCGAAGAGGAAGCTGTGGGCCTGCCCGAGGGCCACAGCTGCCCGCATGGGGATGAAGGAGCCTGTCTGCCTGTTTATAAAGCGCTTAGCAAGCGCTCGGACAGACGGGGCCAGGTCCGGCCCCGTCCCGCCAGGATTCACCGTCCTATCCAGAAATATTTACAGTGGAGCCGCCACGGGAGACGGCCGGGCCCAAGGGACCAAGACAAAAGCTGGCCAAGAGGCTCACACGCTGATGGGGAGAAGCAGATAAGAAACAACAGAACAAACCCGAAAATGAAGAGTTGCTCTAAGAAGGACATTTCAGCAGGGGCAAGGAAAGACCTAGAATCCTTGGGTGCCTGGCCACTGCCGTCTTACCAATCTTGCTGAATCTCACCCCCCACACACACACACATACACACACACTGCTGTTCCTCCAACAGCTCCGAATTCCGTTTGCCTATAACCTTGCACATATACCCCGCAGAGCTGGAAGGTTCTAGCAAGTCCATCCCCTGACACCAGAGGCTGTCAGTAAACCTTTGCAAAAGGTGCAAAACCACCCTCCTCTCCCCGCCCCCTCCCTGCCCCGGCCGCATCCACACACACTCCAGGGTGCTGAGGCCAGAGACAGTCCAATGACTGTGGGTGGCCCCCGCCTCCCCCCAAGCCAAGCCAGCTCCCCGGATGGAGAGATGGAACTTCACCAGCGGGTTAGGGGACAGACGTGTGCCCAGTTCAGCCCGGGGGCTGCCTCCCCCAGCCAGGCCTCCTGGAATTGATTGAATGCATGTGCCTTCCCGGTCAAGCCCACATTTTCCAGGTCCTGAGGTTTCCCTACAGAACAGGAAAACTTGGCCGACTGCAGGCGGAGCCCCTCACAATCTGGGATCCTGCAGGCTCTGTGTTTAGGGTGACTAATGGGAAGAGAGGCGCTCTGTGCCACTGCCCAACCCCCAAGCGCACACACACACACCCTGGAGTTGTGGTGCTGATGGAGCTGTGGATGCAAGTGCAGGCCTGGGAAAGCGGGTCCAGCTGTCAGGAGCCCGGAGGACGGACAGACCCGGCAGGAATGGCGCCCTCCCGCCTCCTGCCTTCCTGCTTATTGGTTTCCCAGAAGAGATGCTTTGAAGGGGCCAACGCTCAGGACATCAGAGCGTCCCAATCCGCATCCACGCCAGGAGCGGCCCCAGGGGGTGGTTTAAAAACAAAACCAAAAAAAAAGAAAACAAGAAGGAAAAAAAAAAAACCGGCAAAGCGAGCAGCCCAATCCCAGCCAAGCAGGAAGGGAAAAAGAGCGAGAAAAGGCAAGTGGGGCCGCCGGCAGGAAGCCAGCGGCGCGGAGGGTCCCCCGCGTCCCTGATCAGACCCAGGAAGGAAATGGGGTCGCTGCGGGAGAGGCGACCCACCTGTTGCGCGGGGGTGGGCCCGCCACCCCACCCCACCCCCGCCGCTGCGGAATGTCACCGGGGAGAGGGGGGGCCCCGTGCGTGCCTGGGTGCGTGCGTGGGCGTGCGTGCACGTGTGCTCGGGCTGGGGCGGCGTGTGCGGTGCGCGCGCGTGTGCCCCGCGTGTGCACGGGCGTGGCGGCGGCGGGCGCGCGGCCGGGCCACGGTCGTGCGTGCCCGACGCGCTGCGCACCCGCCCGCCCGCCCGAGCGCAGCATCGCCCTGCGGCCAAGAGCGTGCATGCGTGGGGTGAGTGAGCGAGTCGGGGGGCCGGGCGGGGTGGGCTGCGGAGAGCCTCGGCGGGGAGCGCCGCCGCCGTGCCCGGGCCGCCCTGGCACCGGGCCCAGCCCCCCCACCCCCCCAAGAAGCGAGGCGGCAGCTGGGGCCGGCCGGCGCCCCCCTCCCCAACAGCTGGCCGCGGCCCGGGGGGCTGCGGGCGAAGAAGGGGGTGTCGGGAGGGGCGAATCCCCCAGCCCTCCCGCATCCTCCCTCCCGGGTGCGGGGCCTTGGGCGGGGGGGGGGGCGCGGGGAGGGGGCGTCGGCGGGTGGCCGCGGAAGGGCGGGGCCCCAGGGCAGGAGGCCGGCGGCCCTTGAGGAACCCCGAGAACAAAAGGAGACGGCGACGGCTCCTCCGTGGTCAAAACAACCTGCGCTGGCCACGGCCCAAGGCCCTTCCGAGCCCTTCACCTTAACCCCTTCGCCGCCGCGCCCGCCCGGCCGTGCGTGCGTGCGCCGCCCCGGCCCCGCCCCCTTTCCCACCTGGATTCCGGGTAGACTTGCCAACTCACGGCTACGTGAGGCCGGGAGGGGTGCGGGGACCCGAGCGCTCCCGCAGACGTTTCCCCACCCCCCTCCCCCCGCAGCGGGGCGTTCACGGGCGGGCGGGCGGCGCGCTCCGCACCCGGCGCGGGGGAGAGGGGCGCGTCCGGCCCGGGGCGCGGGCGCAGGTACGGCGGGGCGCGGGCGCACACGGGCCCCGGGGGGGAGGGGGGCCCGGGCTGGGTTGGGGGTGCCGGGTCCCCTCAGCGCCCCCGCCGCGCCGTCCCTGGGCCCGCGAGCCTGCAGCCCCGCTCCCCGGCGTCCCTCCCCAGTCCCACCCGCTGCCACCTCCGCGCCCAGGGTACACGCTGCTTCTGGACGGCGCGCCGGGGCCCCAGATGCCCTGCGTGGGCCCGAGGGCGCGCGCCGCCACCCAGACTGGGGGGGAAGGGGAAAGGGGGGGACACAGAGCCGACCCCGAGGACCGCGGTGGCCGCCACCGGGCCGCGAGCCCGCGCCTCCCCGGAACGCCGGGTGCCGGGCAGACCCCGAAGTGGGCTCGGAGGGCCCCGTCGGCGCCACCCGACTCCCGCTGACCCCCACCCGGGGAAATAAGGACCCTCGGGCCCCTAAGGTGCACCGCTGCGCACCCCCTCCCCGGCGCCGCGAGCCAGCCGCCGCCGCTGTCCCCTCCCCGACCTCACGCCCCGGCCCGGGGAGGTCACCCCGCGCCCGCCGCCGGGCCCACCCGGCGGCGGGGGTCCAAAGTTCCCGGCAGGGAGAGGAGGGGGCGGCCGTCGTAACTCACCTCGGCGCTGACCAGGTAGCAGCAGAGCGACAGGAAGAGCGCCCAGCCCCGATTCATGCCGACTCCGGGCCCGGCCCCGCGGGGCCCCGGACGCGTGGACCGAGCGCGCCGCCCCCGCGGCCAGGGTGGGGGGCGGGGGCTGGAGTCGGGGCGCGGGGTGGGGGGAGGTGGGCTCGGCGCGGGGCTGCGGCGATCAGGCGCTCGGGCCGCTGCAGCCGCCGGCGCGGCTCACCCGCATGGCCCCGGGCGCCGCCGCCCCCGGCCCCGGCTCCGTCGTGGGGGAGGGCCTGGGCGCCGCGCCGGGGTCCGAGGCCGCTACCTGGGCGGATCCCGGGCCCGCGTGAGCATCCACGGCCGGGGGGCTGCGTCGCGCGAGCCCGCCGAGGCGTCTAGCCGTGTGGGGGCGCCCCGGGGACTCCAACCTCGGGGAGGGGAGCGCGCGGCAGCCGGCGGTTCCCTCCCGGGCTCCGGGCTCCGGGCGTGCTCCGGTGCCCGCGGGCTCAGCGCGGCTGCCACATCGTCCGCAGCGGCCCCCCCGCCGCCGGCCGCCGAGTCGGAACGCGCCGAGCGCCGGGAGCCTCCCAGCCAGAGTCTGGCCCCCAAAAACTTTTCCAAAGTTGTCTCCGCCGGGGTGGGCCCGGGTCCCCCGGGGGCGGCTCGCGGGAGCCCGGGCCGGGCGGGGGGCGGCGGCGGCCGGGGCGAGCGCGCGAGCGTGTGCGCTCGGGGCGCGGGGCCCGGACGGCGGACAGGTGGACGCGGCGCGCGTCCGTCGGTCGGGCTGGCCGCTCTGGGCGTCCTCTGCGGCGGCGGCGGCTTCCTCTTTGCAACGAGGCTGGAGGGTGGGCTCGCCCCACCACCACCACCTTTTTTTTTTTTTTTTTGCGCGCCGCGCGTGAGTCTGTGTGTGCGCCAAAGAGCTCGCGCTCCGGAGGATGAAGGATGGGCGCTGGCGGCCGGCGGGGAGCCCTCGGGGAAAGCGGCGGCGGGGGAGGCTGCTCCCCGCGGCAGAAGTTGCCACCCTTTCAGCGGTTCCAGCCCTTTATAAAGGAGCAGGGAGAGTGCGCAGGTGGGTGGAGACATTCGCTTTTCTGGCCGAGACAACCGGGAGGGAGCGGGGCGGGCGAGCTGGGAGCCGGGGAGGGCCCGGGGTGGGGGGGAGGGGAGGGGAGGGGGAGGGCGGGGCGCCCGGGGTCTCGCCCAGCCCCGCGGCCCTGCTGTCCAAGAATCGGAGCCCCGAGAGGGGGAAATGTTGCGGGGCAGCCCGCGGCCCCACCCCCCCGGCGAGGCCGTGGCCTGGTTTCTGGCCCACGTGGTGGGGGGGGGATGCGGCCCGGCCAAGGAAGGGCCCGGCACCTCCGGGACAGCTGGGACTGGCCTGGAGGTGAAGGTCTCCGGGGGTGCCGCAGGCTCAGAGCTGCCGGCCCGCCGCCCCCCTCCCCAGGCAGGTGGGGTGAGGGGTAAATCTTCACTCCCGAAAGGACAGGAAGCCCCCAGCCCCCAGGTGAGCCCCCAGATGCGGCTGGCGGGTCCACACCCCGCCCCACCCCCCACTCTGAGCTGACCGCCTTGCCTTACGCTGCTGCGGGGAGTTGGCTGGAATGGGATTCGTGGAACTGCAAAGTCTCGCAGACCCCCACAATGCTGCAGTATCCGCAGGCGGCCATCTCGTCCCTCAACCCCCCCACTCCTGTCCTGTCCTGTTTACTACTCAGCCCCCCCAACCCCAGGTGGGAGCGCCTCTCCTAGCAGGCACACAGTTAATGCCTCCCCTGTGCCTGCACTGGCTCCCCCCCTCCTGTGTCCTGACGGTCACACGATCACACTCCGAGTCACACGCGTGCCCAGCACCCACCCCGGGGACCCGCAGACTTGCTGCATAGCAGCCGACTCCCCGGCTGTGCCCTCCGGGCCCCTGGCATCCAAGCATGTCGCTCTGGAGTGCCAGCCTGCCCTGAGCACGCACCCAGCCACCGCCACAGACACACCCCGTCTCTTCCTGAACCGTCTCCTTAGAGAGAGGAAAGGTGGCACGGAGGCCCCCAGGAAAACCCTCCGCACAAAAGACACCCCCCTTCCACCATCCCCGCCCACAACCACCAACCGCTGTCCCAGGACCCGGAACCAGGCCGGGCACTTCCCAGCGTCTGCAGGAAGGATCATGATTGTAATCTATTTTTTGGCCAGCGCAGGGGGTCCAACCCCGGGCCTCACACATGCACAGTGAGCACTGTACAGCCGAGTCACCTCTTCAGCAACGTGACTCGGTGAGACAGAGTGCATGTCTCATGCGCGAGACCCCGGTAGGGATCCCTGAAAAAAATGAAAGGTGTCTGTAATAAATATATATCATGATGCATACCTTCCATACTAGGTGTCCTGGGTTCATCAGCTGATACACTGTTGCTCCTTGTGGGACCTGGGTACACAGGGAAGGACTTCTGCCGGCCTCTTTCAGGGCCTGGGGACTCAGCAGAGAGCTGGATGCAGACGCTTCCCTCATGGCCATGACTGTCCAGGACCAGATCAATCAGCAGATGGACAGGCAGGGAGTGGGGGGGGGGGGGGGGGGCGGGGGGGAGAAACGCACAGACAAAATCCTGATCCATCACACTCACAAGGGGGCGGGGGGGGGAGGGGAGCCGAGCTTGACCTTCACCTGAGTCACCCCAGCTCTGTCTGTGGCATCACACGGCTCGATTCTTCCCTGAGTAGGGCCAGAGAGCGGACGGGGGCGGGAAGGCACCCGGCTGACCCAGGTCCCATCCCCAGCATCGAGTACCACGTCCCCCGGGCCCGGCCAGGAGTGGTCCCTGATGCAGAGCCAGGAGTGAGCCCTTGGCAGTTCTGGGAGCAGCCCCAAACCAAAACAGCACTGCCCGGTGACCTCTGTGGGCAGCGGCTGTCCCCTGGACACAATCATCTCTCCGCCGTTCCCCTGAGCTGTTCCCTCCTCTCTGGCCAAGGGGGAAACTGAGGTGTGGCTCGAAGCATAGGGTCAGCTGGGAGGGCGCTTGCCTGGCCTGTGGCTGACCTGGGTTCGACCACCCCGCCCCCAGCAACTCCTGTGGGCCTCCAAGCACGGCCAGGAGCGATCCGAGCACAGAGCCAGGAGTAAGTACCCCCCATGCCCCCCCCCCGCCACTGGGTGTGGCCCCAAAGCCCGACAGAAAGGTAAAGCACATACCTTCCAGGCGTGAAACGTGGGTTCGATCCCCCCCACCCCACATACACACACACCACACAAAAATGGGAGGTGTCCAGTCCCGGAAGGTGGCTCCGAGGCTCGGAGTATCTGCTCTGCGTGTGGGAGCCCCAAGTCCATCGCGGGCCTTGTGTGGCCTCCAGAGCACCGAGAAAAGGGTGGAGCCCAGAGTGGCCGCCTGTGCGAGGGGGCGGAGAGGCGGGATTGCAGAGCCCAGGGCCAGCGCTGTCTGCCGGCAGGGACCAGGATGCGCCGGGCGCTGGGCATCTGCGGGTGTCCCAAATGGCATTGATGGAGCAGCCTCAAGCATGAAGCCAGCCTGGCATGTGGTGCCCTGCCCACAGAGGAGAACACGCTCCCCTCCGCCCCACCCCTGGGAGCTGCAGTGCCAGGTGGCAGCAGTGACCTGAGTCAAGGAGGGAGGGAGGGAGGGAGGGAGGGAGACCGTGCTCGGGGCCTGAGAGAGCACTGGCCCTGCTGGCCATTCCGCTGGAGTCACAGCCCCCTCCTCCTAAGGAGGACCCCTATTATCCCGCACCTCCCTGTGGGCACCGCAACCGCTGGCCAGCTTGTCCCCGCAAGCACTCAGCGGAGCAGTCACCTCCTCCAGGAAGCCTCCCAGACTTGCTGCCTACCCTGGGTAAAACCACAGCCCGCACCCCGTCCCTGCCTCATGGAATTGCCAGTACCCGGTGCGTCCATCTAGAAGAGCCAGACGGAGCAGCTCTGGGCAGGCACGGGGCTCAGGAGACCAGTCCCCCTCCTCCCTGTTCAACAAATAAATGATTGCAGAGGTAATGAATGAATCATCTTCATGTCCGTCTCTTTCCCCTGAGTCCTGGACACGGGGCAGACACCATCACTCTGCCGATGCTGTCCGAGGGGTGCAGCAGGGGAAAGAGGGGGCTGGTGTCACGCCCCAGCTCTGTCGAAGCCTCAGGGATGCGGGCAGCCCGGGACTCAGGCTTTCCGGGGACCTGGAGAGAGGAGCCTGTGGGCCGGGCACCCCCGTGTCCTCGATCCACACCTTCCAGCCACCAATCTAAGCCCAGTGAGAACAAGCGGCCCATGGTGGGGAGAGGGCGCTGCATTTTTTTTTAACCAGTTTACACCCACAGTCTGAACCAAACTCCCTGACGCCCAAGTGAGGTGAGCGGCTTCGGCCTAGGAAGCCGTTGATCTCTGTCCCCGGGATCCTCGTGGGACCCTCTAGGCCACGGGACAGAAACACCGTCACTTTGTTCCACCATCACTTCTAGACAGGCGGGGACAAGTGCCCGATCACCCAGCGCCCGGCTATACCTGTCCCTGAAGGGTCTTTTCCTGGTTCGAGGGGAGTAGGAGTGTAGCCCCAGAGAGGGGACCCTAAGAGCACCCCTCACCCGTGGTTGCCCCCACCATGCCCCTTCCACCAGGTGTCTGCCCCACTGCACCCCAGAACCACCCAGGGGGGAACTCGAAGCCAACCTGCAGACCCACTTCTGAGATGCGGACCTGGAGGCTCCGGGCGGGCAGGCCTGGGTAGACGTCGCCCCCTCCAAGACAGCCCGGGCTCAGGGACCCCACCACCACCACCCCTGGGCCAAGCTCAAGCCTTACCAAGCCTCCCTGGTTCCTCATGGGTGGAAGGATGCAAGGGTGGGCGACAGATATCCCCCCCGGGAGGCCCCTCTGAGCACAGGTTCTTCATGCGTGTCGGACGGCTCAGTGACCACCCCACCGCGGGGGGTCATTGCACATGGTCAAGATCATCGCCCACACGCCAGCCCCTGACAGGGTGACAGGGACTGCGTCTGGGCAGGCCTCGGGGAGGGGGTGTGTTTGGGGACCCAGGCACACTCGGGAGGTGTCTTCACGGGCTGCACCTGGGCCTGGCCCAGCCGGGGCTGTTGCGCGTCCTGGCAGACGAAAGGGCGGGAAACGCACTGTTTGTTTCTCGGTCCTGCTGGGGCATTTTTAGCTCGTCCAGGGACCAGACGAGGAAGAGGATGTTTGGACTCTACCTGCTCGGAGGCCGGCGGCTGCACGGGGGGCAAAGGCCTGGAATGCGGGACCCGCCGGAGCTAAGCCCAGCCGGGATCTGTTGCTCCCTGTCTGGGGCCTGCTGACCTTCCAGAACCTTCTCTCTGGGCCGAGCGGCAGCAGGTGTAACTGAACAGCCCGGAAGGGGCCTGCTGAGTTCTCAGCCCTGTCCCAGGGCCCGTAGGAGCTGGTTCCCGTTCCTACCCGGGGAGGAGGAGGGGGGGCGTAGAATAAGGTCGTGCCAGGGTTGGAGGCACGGAGTGAGCCAGGGCTGT